CACTTGTGTTTATAAAGAAAGAGATGAAACGTGTCGGTTTAAAGTATCGTACACATGTTCTGTTCATAAAGGGACTTTGTCTACAATATGTCTTAAATGAAACATTTCTGCAACAAAATGATCCCAGACCTCTAAACTTGTTTCCGATGACCTTTTTAGTTTGGCTTGACTCTTCAAGGTCCTGGTCTTGAAATACTTTAGTCTTGTTCTTGATAGACTCTGGTCTTGGTCTTGATAGATTTTACTCTTGTTCTTGATAGACTCTGGTCTTGGTCTTGATAGACTTTAGTCTTGTTCTTGATAGACTCTGGTCTTGGTCTTGATAAACTCTGGTCTTGGTCTTGATAGACTTTAGTCTTGTTCTTGATAGACTCAGGTCTTGTTCTTGATAGACTCTGGTCTTGGTCTTGATAAACTCTGGTCTTGGTCTTGATAGACTTTAGTCCTAGTCTTGATAGACTTTAGTTTTGTTCTTGATAGACTCTGGTCTTGGTCTTGATAGACTTTAGTCCTGGTCTTGATAGACTTTAGTCTTGTTCTTGATAGACTCAGGTCTTGTTCTTGATAGACTCTGGTCTTGGTCTTGATAGACTTTAGTCCTGGTCTTGATAGACTCAGGTCTTGGTCTTGATAGACTTTAGTTTTGTTCTTGATAGACTCAGGTCTTGTTCTTGATAGACTCTGGTCTTGGTCTTGATAGACTTTAGTTTTGTTCTTGATAGACTCTGGTCTTGGTCTTGATTGACTTTAGTCCTGGTCTTGATAGACTTTAGTCTTGTTCTTGATAGACTCTGGTCTTGGTCTTGATAGACTTTAGTCCTGGTCTTGATAGACTCAGGTCTTGGTCTTGATAGACTTTAGTTTTGTTCTTGATAGACTGTGGTCTTGGTCTTGATAGACTGTGGTCTTGGTCTTGATAAACTCTGGTCTTGGTCTTGATAGACTTTTTCTTGGTCTTGATTTGATTAGTACCCCTGGAAGTCTTGGTCTTGCCGTTATCGACCCCTCATAGTCTTGGTCTTAGGAGAATCTGGTCTCTTGGTCTTGACTTGATATCTACCCCTTGAATCCTGCAACACCCTCTTTTCTACCTGGCCGGCCTGAATCCTCGCCCCCCCAAACTGTTCCTGCTCCTCCAGAGGTACTCATGACTGCTTCGCGTGCCAGCGGACTCACGTATCACAGCTACGATAAACCCTGAATTGCTCCTCGGTTGTTTGATTCGTCCGACTCGTCTCTGCAGAGTCACGAGGCGAGTTCTCCTGTTATTAAAGGATACATAAAATTTATTACAACTGTTTTTCCACACAGTCAATGCAAAACTCATGTCTTAAGATCAAAAGAGGTGTTTCTGTGTGTATTTCCGTGTAAATCAGAAATTTGCTCATTTCCTGTTCTAGATCTTAACTGATTCTCTTTTTTTACAATGACCTAGAAAGTAAAAATTAATGATTATTAATGACGCAATGGACCACTGGTGAGTAAATGTGTGTTGAATTTCAGAGCTTCAAGTACTTAAGTGAGTTTATTTGTGCATCCACATTAACTCGGCCTCGTTTCCCCGAACGAAACAACAAAACAGCCGTGAAAAAGTAATTAAAAGGAGCTGAAGGAGTTTACTGCTCCGAGACAAATGCCCCTCTGAGGAAGAAGAGACGCTCTTCATCATTGTCAGGAGAGGAGGAGGAAATGAAGGGGCACCTTCTCTCACTGCAGGATAGAGGAGGAGGAGGAGGTGAAAAATGAGTTCATTTTTTAAGGAGGAAGTGAGGAGAAGGGATTAAAAGGAGGGAGGTTTTATTACTGTGGAAAGACGAGAAGAAATACACACGTTTTCTCTGCTGGGGAGGATCAGGAGAAACGAGGAGAAGATGGGGGACAAAAGGAGAAGTGGACACCAGCGAAGAAGAAAGAAAAGGCATCTCGTCTCGGTGATCGATCACTCGGTCGTCGCTAACAGCTGTGGAGGACACCGAGCTTCGTCATTGGCTAAATGTCACCCGCTG